GTGGATGGAAGGTGAAGGGACACTGAGCAGCCATCCTCCCTGGCTGTCCCTTAAACAAGGCATCTTTTTGAGTCCCCTCTGCCAACAATGTCTGAGTTGAGTCTCGGTGAAGCTGGTGAATCGATCAGGATTACTGGGGCTGGTGGGTGGTCTATGCAGCATAATTAGCTTAGGCCCGATGGCAAGTCCTAGCGGAGAAGGCGAGCTGTCCCAGAGGTTTGCTGCAGGTACCAGCGTTGGGCACTGGGGTATGGGATGCTGCCAGAAAAATCTTACTCTCGGAAACCCTGCACACTGGAACCTGTGCATGCATCGTTCTCACCCCAGGGCATGCTGGGGTCCTCAGGTGTGATGGGTGGGCCTCTGCAAATGGACATCAGGATTGGTTATTACGAGTGGAGAAAGACAGATGCTGAAATGTCTCAGAACACGGGAAATCAGCAGTTCCGCGGGGCAGTGTGCCGCCACCTGCTGGGTCTCTGCGGAGCCCCTCACAGCCTTTGGCACCCAGCCCCTCAGGTAAGGTTTGTGCTGATAGCAGGAGGATGGGGCCAGAGCCCTGGACCTCCCAGGTGTCCTTAATTGACCAGTGGAGTCAGCCAGGGTGTGTCCCGTGTCTGTTCCAGGAAGGATGTTCCAGATGGTTGTCAGGAGGAACAAAGCTGGGGTGGGGGAGACGAGGTGGGAGCTGTTGCCAGCCTGCCTGTCCTCCCTCGCCTGCATCTGTGGTTGGTGGGAGATGGTGCAGGGGGCGGGGACAGCGGGAGAGGATGGACTGGAACGTCTATCCTGGGCCGTCTGCATGTGGAGTTAGCAGGCAGTTCTTGGTCAGGGCTCTGGCTGCCTTGTTTCTGGAGCGGCCAGTCCTTCTGTCCAGACACACACAGCAGGGCCAGACCACAGACCCGCCACTGGGCCTGGACCTTTTATTCCCTGGAACCTCCTCAGGCAGAGCTTCTGGAGAGAGCTCCGGGAAGAGGAAGACACTCCCAAGACCCAGGTGCCCCGCCGCCAGCAAGCTGCCCTCCCCTGCGTCCCGTAACCCTGGGCCATCCCTGCCCCTCCTGGGCCAGGCCAAATTCTGCCCCCACTTGCCGGCCAGCTGTCCCGGTGCTCAGAATCAAGCAGCAGAACTTTCCCAGGGTGGGAGAAGAGCGAGGAAGGGTGACAGGTCCTGGGGACGCCTCAGCCGGGGTGCACACGCTCCAGGTGAGGGGCTCTGCGCCCTCCCATAAGGCCAGGTCACGGCTCGGGGACTGAAGAGCCACGGGAAGGAGAGAGCCGGTGCTGGGGCCTCGTTACTGGGCTCCAGGTGAGAGCAGCTCTGGGGCCACAGCTCCTGCGAGCACCTGGTGGGCGAGGAGTGGCCTCACTGCCTGTCCTGTTCCCATGCAGCCACCCTCTGTGGCCCCTTGCCCGGGCATGTGCAGGCTGCACACACACAGGACCTGGCGTTCGTAGGCAGGTTAACAGGACGGGTCAATGTCCCCCTTCCTGGACCCCTTCATCTCATGACCGTGGTTTTACATCGCCCCTCTCCCCCATTCTCTGTTTCCAGGTTTGGCTGTCCATCAGATTATCACCATCACCGTCTCCCTCATCATGGTCATAGCTGCTCTGATTACAACTCTTGTCTTAAAAAACTGGTAAGGATCCTTGGCTCTGTCTGGAAATGGGTGGGCTGCAGCGGTCCCCGGGCTGTGTGCACAGAAAGATCCTACTTTGCAAACCCGGCCCCAGGCCCCGGCCCAGGCACCTGATTTTCTGCCCTCCAGCAACCCGCTCACCTTCGGGCCTGGGGCAGTGTGGCCAGCCACGGGCGCCGTCCTCCTGGACACTGCTCTTTGGGGCAGTCCCCTCACCGAGGCAGCTCTGAAGCCTGAGAGCGAGCCCACCCTCGGGACTCACTTTGTCAGGCAGCAGATGCCCCCCGTGTCCGAATCCTTTCTCTCTTTGGACGTTGCCCCCCAGGGCACAGCCCTTTTTCTTTATTTGCTACCAGCAGGCGGGTGGGGGTGGAGCCTGCCCCTCGCTGTCGCGGGCTGTCCAGGCGCCGATGCTGGGCCAGCCCCTTCTGTACCCTTCCTTCCTCGAACAGCCGCTTTGTGTCTGCTGAATGAGGTCACCGCTTTGCTCCAGGCAGCCTGTCGTTGCCCATTTTCCCTGGAAATTGGCCTATTTTGAGGTTGGCCTTGCTGGGTGTACACACCTACTACACCTGGGAAAACCAGGGAGCTGCGGGGTGACCCCCGTCTGCCTGCAGCCACTCCTCCAGCAAATGTCGCTCCTTTTAGCATCAAAGCTTAAACTCCCTCCCAGAGGAATACGCCCAAGTGATGCCGGGCTGCTGGCAGACAGTGGTAGGAGATCAGATGGGGCTGGCGGGTGGGAGCTGCCCGAGCGTCCGGACAGTGCGATGCGGCCATAGAGAGCCAGTGTCCGGGACTACAGAAGGCCGGAGCGGTGGCCAGAGCCACAGCAGACCTCACACCAAACCAGCGAGGCCTTGAAGCCGGCTCTGCAGGGCTGGCAAGCCCGGGACTCGGCGTGTGCTGGGACAGAGGACAAGGACAGCACTCAGCGCACAGTGGGGCTTCCTGGGCAGGGTGGACCATGTGGATATGTACGTGGCAGGCACATTTCACGGGCCACCTTGAAGGAAAAGCTCCTCCCGCAAGGAGAGCAGACTTGTGACCCATTCTGTGACAGGCAGGCGGCTTCCCATTGGGTTTCCCGCGTATTTGGGTTTGCAGCAAACCCTCAGAGCGTCTTTTGGAGAAGACAACCCAGGGGACAAGTGGGTTCCATGACCTTGGGCGTTCCCTGGCTTTTTCAGTCCCCTTCTTACCTTCATTTATGGGGTGGGGTTTCCCCCCCAGCAATCGGGGCTCCTCTTATTGGGGCACCAAGGCAGGGAAATACCAGGACTTACAGGGAGGGGGGCTCACACACCCCACCTTGCGTCCCTCTTGTCTGCATAAGCTCTGAGCATAGAGGGGAGGGGGACCTGGTGAGGCCCCCCAAAGTGGGGGCTTCCCAAATATCCTAGCTGCCCTCCTCTGTGGGGACAGGTCGTCCGCCCACCCTGCTCATGAACTTGCCAGAATGACAGCGGGGACAAGGGGGGGTCACTGAGTGTTGCCTCTTCGGATGGCTTGTCCGACTAGGGTGAGAGTCCTTGTCCATCCTACGTGGCATCTGGAAGCGTCTGTGGTCCAGAGGAATGGGGCAGGTGTCCTCTGGGTCCACAGGACAGTTCTCTCCACAGACCCGGAGGGGGTGAAGGAAACGCCGTCCAGGCTTATTTCCAGCTCATGGGCGTGGCAGGGGGGACGCTGAGGACGCGGGGTTCCTGACTTCCCAGCGGCCCCCGAAGACAATTACGTAGTCCGTTTCAAATTGAATGCTCAGGCCACCCCAACCTGTGCACAAAGGCCTCCCACGAGTACACATCAGTTTTTGTCCCGTTGAGGCATTCCTGGGGAAACCGAGTCAGCACCCCTCTTGGGCTGACATTCTTTGGCCAAACAAGTCTTCAGCTCCAAGATGAGACAGCCCAGCCACACGCTTCAAAACCCTCCCTGCAATAATGGCCACATTTAAAATTCAAATTCTATTTTTTAAAAAAAACTGCTGATTGCTTGATTGTGGTTGATCTTTCTGAAGAGGCTGGGAATTACCATTTAATATTTAATGGTGTATAATTAATGCCTAGAGACGAAGGTCGCACGGTCTCCGTGCCGAAGTTGCTTTTGTGGGTCCCGGCCTCTGCCTGCCCCCACCCCCCACCCGCACCCCAACTTCTGTCTCTTGCAGCTGTGCCCAAAGCGGGAACGCTCGAAGGAACAGCCACCAGCGGAAGATCACGCAGCAGGAAGAGAGCTGTCAGAACCTGACGGACTTCACCCCAGCCCGGGTGCCCAGCAGCCTGGACATCTTCACGGCTTATAACGAGACCCTCCAGTGCTCGCATGAGTGTGTGCGGGCGTCCGTGCCCGTGTACACGGACGAGACACTGCACTCGACGGGGGAGTTCAAGTCCACGTTTAACGGGAACCGGTAAGCTCAGGCTTGGGCCGGACCTGCCACCACAAGCCCCTGGTGGCACTGTATTGTCACAGGGCTGTTGACAGGTGCAGGGGCGGGGGGGGAGCACCCTTCACATTTCTCAGGGTCCAGTCGAATGCAGGCAGCTAAATAGGACAGACAGACAGGCGTTTCACCACCAGAGAGGGGACGCAGAAGCCAGAATTCCCTCCCGGACCCCACCCTGGGGTCGTGGCCAGAATGTCTCCCCAGCCCACACCCCGCGACGCAGGCTGAGTGGGCGTCATCGCCAGAGTCCAAGGTCAGCTTTGCAGTCCAGGGGCCTCCTACACACCAGCCAACCCTGAGGGGTGCCTCCCTGGTCAGTGTCTCCAAACCCCATCCATAAAACGTCAGCAGGGAATCTAGCAAAAAACAGCAACCGCCAGCCAGCCTGCTGGTCGTCCAGTGCTCTTTTTTTATGAATCACGTGTAATCCTTCAAAGGAGACATGCTCCTGAAACCGTGCCTGGGAGAGCTTCGGAAACCCTGAGTCAGCATTGGAAGGTTTATCCGGAATTAGATGAAAACAATCAGTAAGCTTCTTTTTTTTTCTTTTTCAAGTGAGCATGCACTCATGCATCATTTTATAAATTAAAAAATATATATATCCAAGAAGTTAATCTCAGGAGGAAATGAGGAGGACACCAGGCTGACTCGATAGGTTCAGTCTCCGCAGCAGGATTGGCAGCTGGGGACACTCCCCCAGGCGCCCTGACAGGCTCCTCCCGGTGCCGAGTCGGGGACGTTTAGCTGTAGTGCCCGTAGTTGACGTAACTTGTCCTGCCCGGAGGACAGCGGCTGCTCTTCAAACACCATCTTGCCGCCCCTCACCTGCCCTGTGCTGTCCGAGATGCCCCTTTCCCGGAGTCAGAGAACCGAGAGAGGAAACCTCGGAGCCGTGCTTCTAAACATGACTTTGCTCTCACTCATTGACACTGGGGAGCTCGGTCGTCACACCCCAGCCTTCCAGAAGGCTGAGCTCCCAAAGAATTAGCTGAGGGCCGTTCAGACCACTCCGCGGGGTGTGGGTGTTGGTTTGCTAGGAATCCGGCCAACCGGGGCTTCAGCCTCCCGGGGAGGTCACTGTCTCGCTTTGTCCCACTCTCTGCCTGTGAGAGCCCTGTGTCCTGTGAGAGCCCTGTCCGCGGCAGGGTGGGCACAGCTGGCACCCTCACGCCTGGTGAGGAAGCATTGGGTGGAGAGGCTGTTGCTTTTGGCTTCAGGTAACGCTGTGTCGGCTCTCACCGGAGAAGGCACACCCGCCAGGCTGCCGGCCCCCTCGCCAGTCCCCGTGCACGGACGGGTCCCTCCGGCTCTGTCCTCCCAGGCCGTCAGGGTGGGCAGGGCTGGCACGGGGCGAGGCGGGGGGGTCCCTTTCGCGAAGGCCAGTGGGTCCAAGCTGAGCGTCACCGTCCAGGGGCCTCGTGTTCCCTCGAGAAGCCAGTGTCCTGTAGCAGGCCTGACCCGCCTGCCTGCCGGTCCCGGACCTGCACACGGAAGCCCATTTTTCTGCTTGCTGCAGACCCTCCTCTTCTGATCGGCATCTTATTCCTGTGGCCTTCGTGTCTGAGAAATGGTTTGAGATCTCCTGCTGACTGGCCGAACTCTTTTTTACCTCCTGGGGGCAGGGCAGACGCCATGTGTCTGTTTCATGGTACGTACCTCTGGCTCTGGGGGTTGGCTCCTTCCTGCCTTTGCCTGGCCTTCCCGACCCCAGCCCTCACTCTGGGACACCTGGGAGTCCTTCCCGCATGGCGACACGGCGGGTGGGATTCCAGGGCATCACCTTTCTGAGCAAACCAGAGAGCTGGGCTTGTGGTCCCTGCAGCAGTTGTTAGAACCCCCCCCCCACGTCCCAGCAGGGGACGTCACAGACACTCAGGGACCCCGGCTCAACGCCCCAGCTGTCTCTGTCTGAGCCACCACTAGCATGGCCTGTAGGGCAGTGGACTGGTCCTGGGAACTAGGTCCAATTACAGCTCCCATCTCCCTCAACAGGAAGTGACTAGGGCAGCAGCTAAGTGGGCGGGCATCGCGCCTCCATCGTGTGTCTTTCCATGGGTGGGGGGGCAGTGCAGAGCAGAATTAAAACACACATTTGAAATACGAAAATAAGAGATAAGAAAGAAAATGGTAAAGAAACTGAAGAGTGGCGACATCTACTAATTTGAAACCAGGGACTGGCACCAGCGCAGGACGCGTTTTCCACGCTCTGCTGGATAGGAACATTTGGTTTGCTTGCAATGATATTAACTTTAATGCTAACGTTAAATTGCTTTCTTCTGTGCTGAGTCTCCCGAATGCTCGGGCTGCTGCGGGGAGAGCGTTCGCCCCATGACTGTGCATTCCTTATGCACTGTCATAGATGCAACCCAGGGCTTGGCTGTTTTCTTTTTTTAATTTGTTTTTCCGTTAGAGGCTCGGCTTTCTAAGGATCCTCCTTTGGCCCTTCCCCTCACCCCAGATACCCTTTCTAAATGTGACATCCGATTCCTTCCATGGGGTGGGGAACCCAGCGCTAGAATGGTTGTCGATGTTTGAAGATAATTTGTCTTACTTTTGCTCACCTTCTGATATGAAGACTGAATGGACAATACCGTTGTTATGTGGGGTGAAGGGCCCGAGGTAGGCAGGTGTTTTCTGGGGCACACACGGACGCCCTGGGGACTCAGCTCGCAGCCTTTAGCTGGGGCCGGAGAAGCCAGCCGCCTCCAGAAGTAGGAACGGGTCAGTCAGTGCCTAATAAATCGCGCGTCAGCTCCAGAGCAAGGCTCCAGCCCTCACTTCCTGTTCCGAAGCCAGAATGACCTGCTTGGTGTCCTGTTGTGCCAATGGGCAAAGAAACGTAATTAGATTAGAGTGGAAAGAGAGCCCTTTCCCCGCAGAGGCCTTTGCTGGGACTGATGCAGGCAGGGAAGATGCGGCCTGTCCCCATCTTCACGGGCCAGGTGCGCCCAGCACGGCCTGTGCTTTGCCTGCCTCAAGGTGACTCACCTCATTGGAGCCCCCTTGCTCCAGCCGCACTAGCCACGGGGACCTTGCTCATTAGCACAGGGGCTCCCGTCTGCCCAGTGAAGCCTCCTGGTGGTCACCAGCCTCTCTGTTAGGAATTTTAAAATGTGTAAAAGCATCAGACGTGGACCCTGGACAAGCCGGCCCTGCACACCCAAGACCTCTGCTGCCTTCCCTCATGAGCGGCAGGCCCACGGCCGGGACGCGGACACCCCTTTGGCTCCCAATAGCCTCAGCCAGGGGGACAGTTCTCTAATGAAGACAATCAAATGGCAGCTTGTCGGAGCACTCTTGACAGGTGGGACCTCACTCAGTCCTCCCAGCAGTCCCATTTACGGATGGGGACAGCGAGGCACGGACAGGTGAAGTGACTTGCCCCAGGTCGGTCAGGGTGTAAGTGGTGGGGCCCATCTCGCCCAGGCCACCTGGATCTGAGGCATCGGGGCGTCTGGACCGCACTTTCCAGCTGTGCCTGAGAAGCTATTCCGGGACCACCCCCATGTGCAGGAGGCAGCAGTGTCCAAATAGCAGCTCCCTCACTGTGGATCTCGGGTAGGTGGTTTGGGGAGGCCAGGGGAGCCTGTGGGACTTGGTCCGAGCCTGGCTGAGCTCAGCCACCGCACCTGCCCGTGGACACAGCGCGATGACTTGCTCCAGCGTCTCCGATACCTGCAGACGAGGACCAGGCGGGCTACGCAAGCAGCCTGTTAGTCCTTGAGAGATGCTTGAAGATTCCGTTGTGGTGTGTCAGACAGGCCATTTGTCACTCGCTGGGAGGAACACATTCGGATTCTCAGTGTCCCTGGTTCTCGCCATTAATGCCTGGACACGAGCATCGAGCGGACAATAACCAGGAAGATCTCCCAGATTTACTAAGCTACTTATTGCCCCTTAAATAAATAGCAATTAATACTAAAACATTTAATTAAGATTTAAGAGCCAGTGGAGATATTTATCTTGGGCATAGCTGTTAAACCTCTCCAAATGCATATTTAATGATGATGTAGCAGTTTGTTGCCACACCGTCTCGTCTGCTCACGTTAACCCACGTGCACACTTGGGACCCAGACGTGGCCAAGTTTGCGTCCCCGTAGGCAGGTTGTCGGCGATGCCCAGGCTGCTGGACACATGCGCCCCTGCCCAGGCAGGCGTTCATTCGTTTCCCTAGGTTCAGCTTCTAAGATAGATGCCAGAACGTTCTCTCCTCAGACCACCTCCGCAGTGAAGCCTGATTGAACGCCCTGGACAAGTAAAAAGGAAGCTGGCCTTTGCTGCTTCAAGGAAAGGGACTTCGGACACACCCCTGCCTTTGGCTCTTGGACTAATTTCCTGTCATTTTTCTTACAACGAGCAAACTTCAGAAAGCCTCCTTAGTCTCAGATGTTTGCATTTGCCAAGGCCACTTCATCCCGAATGGAGCCTGAAAAGTAATAAAGGCTCTTCTTACATTGAAGCAAGAGAGAAATAAATCATGTGGTATCATTATTTTCAAAACCACACCGAAGACATAACTAATAAAAAACAAGAAAAGCACCTGAGCCTCACCACTTTATTCTTAAAAAAAAAAAAATACATTAACAGAATATCCAGCTTTTGTCATTCAAAGGAACACTTTTTTCAAAGCAGCATCCAGGCCCTTCTGGAAAGCGTCCCCTGCAAGCTGAGAACAAAGGAAAGCTGACCAGCACCAAAGAAAACTGGGGGAAAGCAGCCCCTTCCGGATGTGGAGAAATTAACTCGCAGCTATGGCGCTCCAGGGGGACTCCATTCTCTCGGCTTGGAGACACTGGTCTTAAGCCCTTGACCCACCGAGCGGACCCACCGTGTGGCTTGTAGCCGGTGGGGCAGGTGAGCCCGGAGTCTCCTTCCAGGCAGCGGGGGACACTGGCTTCTCCAGTCAGAATTTATCCCAGATGCCCATCTCTCAGATCACGTGGCATCACACAGCTTCTTTCTGGCCGGGAACCTTGTGTGGACACCCTTGCAGGTGTCCTTCCCCAGCCGGGATGTCCAGCGCTCACCACATCTGTCGTTCCAACCAGCCTGGATTGCACCCCCTTCTCTGGCCCCCCTCAGGCTCATGCCCAGCTGAGAGGCTCATGAGCTGAGCCTTCAGAGCAGGAAAACCAGAGCCCTCCCTGTGGGCTGAGTACAAGCAGCAGGGTTTGGGCGGGCATGGAAGGTGGCCAGGTAGCCACAGACTTCCAGCTTTTGTCATTCAAAGGAACACTTTTTTCAAAGCAACATCCAGGTTCTTCTGGAAAGCGTCCCCTGCAAGCTGAGACTGGGCTGGTGGGGTGATGCCACCCTTGCAGGAGCTGCTTGCAGGGAACCCATCCTCCTGTGCAGGGAGCCAGCGCTGCTCTTAACATGGCAGGTCAAAGCTCGGGGTTGGAGCAGGCACTCTCTCGCCGCCCCCCTTTTCTCCTTCCCCTCCTGTCCCCTCGCCCACCCCCACTCCCTCCCTCTCTCCCTCTCCAACTTCCTCTCCCTGGCTGGGTAGAGACAGAGGCCTGTGGGTTAGGAAGAGGCTTCCGTCCCCCAGTGGCCCTCCGTCAGTCCTCTGAGGGCCCTCCCTTCCCTTGATCCTCCAATGCTGGCTGTCCCCTCAAGCAGCCACCTGCAGGCAGCATGTGCAGGTCACTTCAGGCTTTAGTCGCAGGGACTGAGGACAGAGTTACTTCCAATTCTCTTAGCTTCATCCAGCATTCCTTTTCCTCTCCGGGCTGGCACAGAGCTGGAACCCAGGTGAACCAAAGGTGGACCTGCAGGATGCTGTGACACCTGGGCTGATCTGTGACACACGCCCAAGTACAAACCAGTGCAACTCGTCCTGTCCCTGAGAAGTGGTAGAACCAGATGCTCGAATATACAGAAATGAAATTGAGAACACGTTTAGGACAGGAGGGGACGTCCACAAAGGCCTCCCCTGGGAAGTGACCGTCAGCAGACACAGGAAGGATGTGAGGTGTGAGATGTGGGTGCCGCCTGGAATATGGAGAGGAAGGGGGAGGTGAGGGTGCAGAGGCGGGGTTGCTTCTGGAAGGACCCCAGGAGCCGGCAACTGAAGCATTGAAGAGTTTTAAGCAGGAAAGTACACAGTGACAGCCTATGGACAACCCTAGCTGGCTGGTGGAGGCGTGAAAGCCACACCTCTGGCCTTGACCTACCCGGTTAAGGTCAGAATAAGGATGGAGAAGCAGCCTGGGCAATGGTTCTCACAGAAAACCATCCTTTTTAAGGGCAGGCGGCCATGATTCCTGGCCTGGGACTTGTTCGAAAGTAAGGAGGGGGCGCTGTTGGTCATCATGCTGGGACAGCGGACAGCAGCTTAAACCAGAGACAGTCGCAGGCCACCAGAGCTGGACGGATGGTCACCAGGCGCAGCTTTTAGTCTCCCCATAGTTTTAAATATGTTTTTAAATTTTTTTTTTTATTGGGGAATTGGGGGTATGGGAACAGCGCTGGGGAATTAGGGGAAGGGGAACAGACAAGTTGCTGTCATTTTGTTCTTCAGTCTAGTTGTGGAGGATGTTGCTTCACTGGCCCAAGTTGGCACCATCATTGCGCTCTTCCCGGGCGAGGCAGATAAGTCGCCGGCTTCTGGACAGCCGCTCACTGTGGCTGCTGGCCCCTCACGCTGGCTGCTGGCTGCATACGGTACCCATGGCAACCCACTGCCATAGGGGCTGCAGCCTACACTGTCGCTGGCGACTCACGGCAGCCCAGCTCCAGGTTGAGCTGTTGTTCACCATCTTAGCTGTGGAGGGCAGTGTCACTGGCCCTCACATGTGGGATCCGAACCAGAGCCCTCTGGCATCCCAAGCCAGTTCTTAACCAACGCACCACTCGGCCAGCCCTTAAAATGTTTTTAATGGTGATAAAATATACATGACTGACCATCTTAACCATTTTAAGCGCACAGTTCAGTGGCATTAGGTACATTCACATTGTTGTGCAGCTGTCACCCCTGTCCTCTCCAGAACTTTCCTTCTTCCCAAACTGAAACTCTGTCCCCATTATACAACTCCCCACTCCCCCCCCCACCCCAGCCCCTGGCACCCTCCGCTCTGCTCTCTGTCTCTACAAATTTGACTCCTCTTGGGGCCTCACAGAAGTGGGCTCACACAGTATTTGTCTCCACAGTTTTTAACTTTCAGAAAGTTAGAACAAAGATAGAGAACCCTGCAGGAGGGATGTTTCGCTCTGTTCTAATTACTTCACCTTTAAAACCACCCCTCCCCCAAACCCTAGAACTCGGAGGAGGTGGGTGGGGGCTGGGGCGCAGTCGGAGTAAACGTACCAAGGTGGTCCTGCACCCATCTGACAGGATGTCCCATTACTATGCAGGAGGTGACACCCCTGTCACAGCAGAGTGGGTGACATTTGCGGTAGAAGGCCAGGTGAGGTGATGACCAGGGGCCCTGCCTCTGTCTTCCAGACCGGGAGGGGTCCTAGGAGGGGAGCAGCACCCTAACCCCAACCCCGGGCGGAACAGACTGTGACATGCTGAGGGTCCTGGTGACACTTAGGAAGACTAAGTGTCCTGCTGAGGTTGACCGTCCTGTGCCTGCAGACGTGTTCCCCACCTGGGGGCCTTCTCCCCCCCTCAGTCCTGGCAAGGATCACCGGCTTACTCGATTCAAGAAAAAGAACCCTACACCCTAGTCTGTTGAGAAGAACCGAGTAATGGCCCAAGCCTGTAGAAACCCATATTCACAGGCCCTGCCCGGAGGACCTGACTGGGGGTCTCCAGAGGTGGGCCCAGGAGTCTGTATTTCTGAACTGCTCCATAAACAACTAGGACTGGCCACTGTGTCTGGGAAGCGCTGTGAAAATGCTAACATTCCAGCTGAGTGCTTTTTCCAACTTCATCTGTAATCATCGGGTCCCCCACCCATTTTCTAATTTGCATCCCCTGCAGAGACAAGGGTACAATGTCATTCCCCTGTATCCTGCTTGAAGGTCCTAGTTTCCTGTAGTTGTGGGGTGCTCGTGGGGGCTCTGAGTGACAGCAGAGAGGAACTATGCCCAATCCTCGTAGGGGAGCTGCAGCTTTGAGCAGAAGCACCTGCAGGCTGATCTAGGCCGGGTCCCAACTCACCTGGCCATGCCTTGGGCAGCTGTAGCTCTCTGGGTCTCTGGGGGACACTAACCTCTGGGGTTTTGTCATGAGGCAGGTTCCCATTTTCCGAGGCACACAGCCAGCTATGTAAGAGCTGCTGTCTCTTTGCAGCCCTCTGACCTGGCCTGCACGCACTGTGAGTCACACACTGTGATTTTTGGCAAGATCACCTCGTGGGGAGACCCAAGAGGAGGTTTTTCTGATCCATTAACGTCTCCATGTCCCGGCCTCATGAGCCTCCATTGGATTGAAACGGATTCCACTGCTTCCTGCAGCCGAGGAGCAGGCCCTTGGCGGATAGGAGCTGGCAAAGGGCGGGAGCATGGCGCTGGGTGCCTTCAGGCACCTGCGGGCTTGGGGTGCGATGCCCTCTCTTAGGAAGTCCAGACCCACTCCTGCGGCGGGAGCAGAAACCGCTCCTCCATCGATGACCCTAATTAGCACGAGTCCCAGGCCCACTTCACGCCCAGGAATTCCCAGCTGTGTGTCAGTTCCTGGTGACCAGGCGCAGTGAGACCACCTTCGTGTCCTGAGGACACGTTGGCGCCTGGTAGCCAGGAGCAGGGCCATCGGGGCTTGGTGGCCGAGGCTGCATGGACTCTCCCCGCTTTTGACCTGCTGCCATTTAATCTCTTCTTGTTTTCTTTTCCACACAGGATTCCGTGGTGAACCTGTAAAAAAATAAAATAAAATAAAATAAAAACCCCACAGAACCTAAAACTCAACTATCTAAGGGGGAGGGTCCCCGCACCTACCACGTGTGTCTGCCGGTGGGGAACTCAGAGCAGGACGCTGTAGGCCAAATATATTTTTATAAAAATGCTCACGCCTATGGGGGACTGCCTTCTCCCAATTTTCTTTGGAGAACCGGAAGAAGAAACGCCAGGATGGAACTGGACACGGAGAGGCGAGGACACCAAGCGAGGAGGACAGGACGCGCCGGAAGCCTGGGATTTGTCCCTTGATTCTGAGCCTGTGCCAATTATACCATTATGTGCCATGTACGGACCCACAGACTTGGTGACACAGCCAAAGCCAAGCGAGCCACGCGTAGAAATCTCACAGAACACAGGGGCGGGGAGCTCTTCCGACAGAGTCGCTATTTCTGGTTAATATATATGTGTATATAAATATATAAATACACACAGACACACACACACACACACGCACACACTTTTTTGTACTGTAGCAATTTTTGAAGACCTTCAATGTTCCTTTTTTTTAAAAAAAAAAGAATTGTTCTCCGTTACAAAATCTGATTTATTTCCCAGGCTTAGTACGAACAGGACAAACCAGTGTTTTCTACTTTGCAGACACACACACACCACTCACACACACACTCGCACACAAACACATACGCGCATATATATGCATATATCGGAAGTGCAGTTCCACGAGTGAGCAGACTCCTTCTGGTGACCTGGTATCCCGTCGCCGTCCGTCCATGCCCAGGACAGCCTCGACCCACGCCCAAAGACCCTCAAATGACACGCCCTGCATTTGCTAGATATGTGGTGAGTGGCACCAACTGTGCAATTTCTTACCTTGAGCCGTAATGCTGATCGCCATGGTTTTATATACATGCATATACACACACACACATAAATACTATCTTTTTTATGTCATTGTTTGAAGACGCTACCTGACAGCCATGTGCACATTTATGTAGCCAGCGGCTTACCAATGGGCCTGAGTGTCAGATTGGGCAGGGGGATGGGGTCCTGGCCATCTTTGTGTTCATACAAGCAGAGTCCGAATTAAAGAAATTTCCCAGTTCCAAAAATTAAAGGAATACATCCTGATAATGTGTGTGCGTATGTCAGAGCAGAGCTCAGAAACTGACGAGGCCCCCAGCTCGGTTGGAAAGGCTGCCCCCACGCGAGCCATGCCCTAGCGTGTCCTGACTTCCCACGCATTGGCGGATGGAGGTGGCCTGCTCTTTCTCAAGCCCAAGGGTGACTTTGGATCTTAGGGGAGACAGTAGCAAAGATTCTGTGTCTTGTGGGTTCCCGTTGGCCAACGTCTGTGTTTTGCCATCAACAACCCCGGTATGGAGGTTTCCAATGGAAATAGGACTGGAGCCTCGTTACAGAGATTCCCGACTGCACACAATCCACTAAAAGCACTGCCAACGCCCTCACGACCCCCACCTTATAAAGGTGCCCTGGTGCCCGTCTTACTGCTAGTAGGGGAAGCTGTAGGGGATGGGTGGGGCCGTCTGGGGGCCTCCCTCATCCCCATCAGACAGAACATTTCTTCCTGTGGGGACCCCAGATCTGGTGCGCACGGCTTGTCGCCTGTAAACGGCCCACATGGAACTTTGATTTCACCAGGCTGGCACTGGAACCCACTGAGTGAAAGGCCCACAGACCAGGTTAAAAGGTTAAAGGTCAGGCAGCAGCTAACCTCTTGCCTACTTGTTGGCTGGGCAGGTGACCTGATTCTTCCAGGGGGCTCACTCTCCCATGTGCTTGCAAAGTTCGCTTTTGCACCTCTTGAAACCAGGGAGAGGAAAGCAATGACAGTGGAGGGGAAAACACGTTTTTGTCACGCTGTAGCAGTAAGCGCCGTGTTGGTGATATTACTCCGGAACCTGGAAAGTTGTGGTTTTGGTTTTGGTTTTGTCATTTCCCCCCGAAGTTTCAGCACATACAAGGCAAGGCAAACATCCGCGACAGCCATGTGATTGTCTCCAGGTTCCTGGGACCCACCTGTCTGGCGCTTGATCACGCACCTGTCAGTCTGTCTGTCATCCAGTGCTTCACCTCTCTGTCCTGAAGTCACTCTCCCACTGGAGGTCAGCACCGGGGCTTCCTGACTCAGGTGAGCCCAGCTCGGTGTGAGCGCAAGGCCAGGGCTGTCAGCCTCCCTCAGGGCCCTGGAAGCTTCTGCTCTGCTCTTTGACACTAGGTGACTGCTGAGCCCACCTGGAAAGGAGGTGGTGGCAGGGCGCCATGTGTTCACCGACAGCAGGAAGCCAGGGTTCCTGTGGGGCCACAGTTTACCTCCAGCTGCAGCTCAGCCCCTGCCCCAGACCACGGGCTGCCCTCTGGGTGCCTGAACTGTTTCTGGGGTGCGCAGGACCCTGAGCCTTCGAAGGGAGTTTAAAATAACACCCCTCCCCCACCCCAGCCCCTTGACCTCAGGCTCAGGGTAGAGCCTGGAGTCTCCCCAGGAAGTCTAGTTCTGCACGCATGTCTGTCTGTCAAAACGAATCCACTTACAGGAACACCCCGCTTGGTGGTGACTGAGGAAGGCTGTGTAGAGACGGCTTATCTTGTTTTTTAAATGGCTACCTGGAAAAGCCTGGAAACATCATTTCTATACAACGAGAGGCTAAAGGAAAAGCGAGCGGGCTTATGAAACACGGCCCCGCCCACAGTGCAGCCTGTAAAACCACAGCACAGGACTTGTTGGAATCAGCCCCACAGACACAGGCCCAAACGTGCCGCCGGTGTCTGGTGAGTTGGGCCGGGCCCGCCTTCCCGGGCTGGGCAGTAATTCTGGGTTGGTCAGTGTTCTGTCTTCTGGATTTGAAAGTCCGTTAGCAAACCCCCACCCGGTGTTTCCTCGCAGAGTCATATTTCAGCCCCCAGGATCCAGTCCTTACATTTGCGTTAGCTTTTTTTTCCCCTCAAGGAATATTCTCAGAGGAAGGGTGATATGGTTTGGTCACGTCCCCCAATTTTTGTCCGCCTCCATCTCATCCATTCAGTTGCTCTCTGACATCCTACGATCACGGGCCCCTGGGCCGCGTGCCGACCACTGTCCGTTGCCTACCTTCCCAGACTTCCAAAGCTTTCGGAACAACAGGACAGGGCTGTTGGAACCTCTGCTGTACGGTCAAGTCTATTTCTAGCCTGAATCGCTTCTAATCTTCATGCGCTGAATGCCATTTTTATCTAGTTGCGATAATGGGCGTGATTACTTTTGTTTACAAATTCTGAGCGCTAAGGGGTAGATCTTCAGGCATGGCCAGGAAAGCTTCCTGGCCATCTCCCACTGGACCCCGATTCCAGCAGTGTCCGAACAGGGCCAGGCTGTGTGTGCAGAGGCCTTCTTCCAGCCCTGGCCTGCTCACACAGTGCGGAGGCATAGGGACCCCTGGGATACGTCGAGGGTTGTTCCTGTTCAGAGTTAGCGTCCTTGTGCAGAAAGGAGAGGCCACTTAGGAAGCTGTACTTTCTCCCCCGTGTTTCTGGTCCTTCCTAACCCTGAGTTCCGGTGGACTTCTCAGGTTGCATTCAACTTCCTCATGTTCATCTCAGTCCTTCACGGAGCATTTTCAACTTAGAAACCTGGACTCGTTAGCAAACCCCACCAACTCTCCAAATTTGAGCACCAGGAATTCAGTAACTGCTCCAGCGATCTTGCAACCTTTGGTCACTCGCTTCTCACGAGCATATTGCCCCTTCTCAGCCACATTTCGTCATCGGGCAGAACCTTCCTCAGCCTCTGGTCTTCAGGAATGTTGTGCATTCAAGTCCACCCCTTCTGGTTGTATTATGAAAGGAACACATCAAAGATTTGAACTTTTTGCTTTGTACGGCCTCTATTGGACGCTATTGCCCAAAGAGATAGTCCATCTCTTTTGTTTATTCGCCCGTGTGGTCCAGTATCACCTGTCGCTCAAGAAGCTGGGCTGACCCCAGTTTCTTGGGAGATAAGACAAGGAACCAGGACTGAGGTGCAGGGCTGGGACCTGCAGCCCTGTCACGGCCAGACTGGATCTTCCTGTGGCTTTTATTCCAGAATGGCATTGGCACATACCTTCCCTCTGTCCGTGTTTTGACACCATTGCCTTCTTTCCTGCGAGACATCTCAGCATAAGTGAATCTTGGCACTTCGCTGGGCTAGTTTTCCCTTCTCCAGTCATCCCCCAAGTCACGACGGGAAAAGCTACTGAGGCTCCTGAGTTCTGTGGAGGTTTGGGGGCAATTCTAGTTTCACCATGTGGGTTCTTTAAGAGGACGCCACTCAGATGTGCTGTTCGTTGGTCATTTATCCATTCACATATTCAACGAAGAGCTGAACTTCTCCATGTTGGAGACACGATGAGGGATAAGACACAGACCTGCCCTTTTGGGTTTTACTTCCTATTCTGGGAGGAGGCAGATAATTAACATAGAAGCAAACAAAACAATGCCCGGAAAGAGGGATACGTTAAAGGAAGGCAACAGAACAAGGTGATAGAAGAGAGAGAAGTGGCAGCTTTCTGTGTCTCTCCAGCTTGTCCTCCTCTCCGAGTGGGAAATCACTTGTTTACCAAGGGTTGGTCTGGGGTTGAAAGGAGCAAAAAAGCCTTACTCCCACCTCCTGGGTAAAAATGCAGTGCAATGCCAAAGATAAGATGTCCCATCATTACAAACTGTCCCACCTGGTTTTCCACCAATCATACTTCATGGGACGGAGAAGTGGGACCAAGATGAGGGATAGAACCCTGTTGATGGGTTACCCTCTCCTTTGAGCACTCTCTCTCCCCCCGGACCCCTCCCCATGCGCACATCTACGTTGTCAAGTCACCATTAGGTCAACCAGTTCTCAAAGAGGACAAAGGAATTCAAGGGCAGAGATGCAACCCACAGGCACGGGGGGGCCCCAGGAGAGTCATCCCTCTGCGTAAGGAAGGCATCTGCCTTCTCAGAAGTTTCTCTCAACACTGATCATGCTTAGCAACGTACTTCTTAAACAACATCTGCCTTTAAGTAAGCAGTTATTCCAAAACATGCTGTGATTCATGTAATTTTGGAGTGGTTACTTTGGTGCAGTTTGTCAACTTGGTATGCCATATTGTTTTTTGATCGTTTGTTTGTTTTCCCATGTAAATAGCACAGCCCACATAAATGAGCCAACCTCACCATCTGAGGATTTTTGATGATTCTTTCCGGCTTATTTTCCATTTATGTGCTTCCTGCTATGAAGACAAGCTTCTCTTTCCCTCACTCTGAGCCAAGATGTGCGTGTTAGTGATACTCGGTGTTATTCGTGGGGTTTCCAGCAAGGGCTTAAATGATTGACATTGTGAGATACGCTACCAGCCCTTTCATGCAGAGTGGAGCATGGGTGTGCAGTTTTGCATTTCTAGGTTTAGAGTTTGCATTTGAAGGTAACGATTGGGTAAATAGAGGTATAGGCAGAGAACCACCCCAACCATCAAGCAGAAAGATTGAGCTTCTTTTGACCTGAAATGATTCTAGAAAGGTCTCAGCCAGGAAGCAGGCCCTCACCAGTCTCCAGAGTTCAAATCGGTCACCATGTAGGCAGACAATCCCTGGGTGGGGAATTCAATCATGTGCACAATCGTCTTTTATGCCAAAGGGCCAGTGGCAGCCTGTGTACCTTAGCAGGGGAGCAGTAGCGCCAGAACTGGGACAGCCATCCCGAATCGCTCACACGTACCCCCCTCCATTTTACTTCACTTTGGTTTGGGGGGGGTTAACCACGTAGGCTGTGGCTGATGAGAAAGCCGTGCACACAATGGCACCGAGAACGTAGAATGACACAGGAGCAGGAGGTGAGGTGCTTGTCATGGGCTCTTTAAGGCAGCACGTGGATAGCAGGGGGCTGGGGTGAGGGGCTGCTCTCATGGATTCCCAGACACCACACCAGCCATAGGTCCACACTCTACACTTGGAAATACACCGCCCACGCCCAATTATAGAAGCACGTGAAGAGAATGGTCAACTGGGTTATCACAAGTGTCAGTGTTGGGGCTGAAACACTAAAACACATCCTTCCGGTAGGTCCACTGCATGTCCCACTTGACGGGGTCCCTGCAGAATGCTCCAGGAGCGACTGTGCATGGACTCAAGAGAGGAGCTTTGAATGAACCCACAAATCGCAGCCAGATGTGGACCAGCCTCAGGTTAAAGGCGTGGCATAAGTGGGGCCAACCTTGCCCACCGGGGACTCGGGTTCATAAGCACTTGGGATGGGGGCAGTTTGAACAGCCAGCAAGTAGTGGGGGGAGCGTCAGTGAACGTACAAATGGCCCTGTTATCTCTTCCGTGTGGGTTGGAGTCAGAACATACATGTACCATGTAGAGTATCAATTAAATACACCCTCTGGGGGCTGACTTAACTCTTACCAATACCTTAAATCTCACAGTAAAGCTTCTGCTGAGTCATGTTTGGCAGGAATGGATGCAGAGAGGATCCAATCATAGGAAACTCTTTTTTTGAAAATCAGTTTTGTCCCAGGTGGACTCTCCCTTAAAATAGAATCCTCTAGAGACCTGGATTTTCATGTGTAAATTCCCACCTCAATATTTGCAACTCCAAACAGCTCCCTAGGAACTTCATTCTTCTTTGGACACAAACTCAGCTGACCACGCTGGTTAGCTTTGTCGGATTTCTGAAATTCTGCAATAAAATTCTTTAGTGTTGATGTTTCTAGCTTTTGGTTTGGCAGACCATCAGTTAGTGCTGGTCTTAGTGAATTTGGCAAGCAATTGCTTGCAGAAATCGGGGAGAACTATGCCCATGGGACAAGCGAGAATGCTGTGCAGTCCTAAGTTTGACTTATTGGCACCATCTTGCACCACTAAGACGTGTAGCCACTAAAAGTCTAAGATGGGGACCCTTTGAAGACCCCCAATGTAATTGTTTCAAGTCATTACCCAGAAAACTGCAAAAGGCAAACACCATTGTACCCACCTCCTGGGCCACTGTCCCATTTCCCAAGAGAACCATCCCATCTTTCTCCACTATTCAATCATCCCAAGCCAGTAGGGACAATTTCAAAGTCATCGTGATACCCCAAACCTAAATCCCAACCATCAGGGGACTGACTGGAATAGAAGCGAGGGGTTTTTGCCAAAGCCTGAAGCTGCTGAGATCCATATGGAGGTAGCAGCAAACTCATAGAATTGTTCTTGACAAGGCTTTGTGTAATAGCCTCTGCCACCAGGAGGGACCCTCTCCCTCTGCCTCCAAAGTCTGGTTTGGTTTGGGACCACACTGTATTATCTCGCTCTGATGCATATGAATTTCTAATATCAAGTAATGTGACTGCCAACAACTTAAGGTCAAGAAAGCAACATGAGTGTTTCTTCTGGATGAGTTTAAAAGCAAACATGAACTCACATGAAAATTACAAAGAGGGGAGATCTCTAAGGTGCTCTTAGGTATTGTGCCGCTTCCACATATAAGCACAACTGCTCTCCCAGGAAAGGGCCTTGACGACAGGGATGGGCAGCTGGTTTTGGAATGTCAGCAGACATCACAGATCCCATGTTTGGCCACACGGTCCTTGAACAGAACTGCCGTGACCTACAGACAGATGTTGTTTTATGTTTTTGTTTGTTTTCCATTGGTATTTGAATTGCTTCCTCGGAAGCCAGAAGGGTGAAAGGAGCTTAGCAGAGTTGGTTCTCAGTCAACTGACCCTAAATTTCATCCTTTAAAATGAATCCCCAGTTAAGGTGACAGAATGTCCTGAGGTTCTGCCAGCATTTCCGAGACCTTCACGGGTCGTGCGGCTCGGTAGGAGGACAGAACACTGTCCACAGCATTCTCTGATCCCGAGACACTCACCAGTTGTGGTAAGAGGGAGATGTGGGAACTTGTGCAGTTTTGGAATGAAACACTGACGTTTTGGGGAAATTTGGAACCAGTTGGGGCTCCAGTTAATTGTTTTGTAAAAACTAGAAAGTTTTGTTTTGTTACTTGTTCTTCTGGCAACTCCATTTGGATCATTTCATCTTCTTACCTTCCCCGGAGAAACACAGTGGCAGATGCCAGAACCCAGACAGAACACAGTTACCTTCCAGTTAAAATTATTTAAATGTAAAGCAGAACGACCACAACAAAGCCTGATGTGAACTTGAGTGACCTTGCTGATTAGGTTTCCTTAACTTTCGATTGACGTGTGGATGGACCAGAGATTAATGGGGCTGAACAACAGTTTCTGTGTCTCCACACGTGCTGTTGAGCAAGCGTCTCCTTGAACTTGAGTTAGACCCAGTAGATGTTAAGCCGGACACTGGAGGAAGTGTAAGGCCATGCCTTGGTTACGTTTTTAAAGTCTTGTACATTTTTTTTTCAAAGGGAATAAATGTTTACTCATGATATTTAGAAAATACCAATAACCAACCAGAAGAGAAGCATCTGAAACCCTCCAACTATTGTTTAATTCAGGGGAAAGGGGTTATAAAATGCTGAACTTGTGAGGACAGGTTGCAGAGGTCGCCCCACGGTCAGCACCATTGCCCACTCTGGCTCCAATGTGTGTTTTATAAAAAGGAAGTCCAATTAGCTTTTGAAGGCGTCTTTGCCAGGTTTTCTTATTGACTGAACTCATCATTAGAGTGTCTCTGGGCTGAAGTGGAAAGGGCAGTCTACCATTTGGATGGTTTGCTTTTCCATCATCGAGTGTGGGCCACTGGGCACCTCTGGGGGTGGGGATGGCATAACCAGAACACGCAGAGAAGCATCCAAATTACTGGCTGGAGTTTTCACATGGGGCATCTACCTGGGAGCCAAGGATCTCAGCAGGATTCACGTCCATGTCCATACTCCTAGTGTATTGGAATAATACCAAATTTACCAGGTCTTGTTACATGAATTTAAAGATGGAGCCCGTTCCTCCCTCCTCCTCCTCCTCCCCAGCTCACCCATGGAACTGGAAAGCTCACACGCCGTAAGCCTGAACCACAGGACAAGAAATCGAGTGCTGAGAGCCACAGCGGCCTATTGTCACAGGCTTTAAGTTGACTGTTTTTGAACTTTATTCTCCGCGCCCCCCCCCACCCCCGTTACTCATGTATAGTCAAACTGGGTTTATTTTGATTTTCCTAAATTATTTTCTGATACAATAAACTGTTAAGCGTTTATTTATACTTTTACATGGAGCACTGGTTGTTTTTCAACAGAAAAATGAAGCCCTCTCTGTTTCGGTGTTATACATATATCTAGACCACAGCTGTCCTTATATTTATAGATCACCTTCCCAGAAGCGTTAAACTATTGCGGTATATTCTGGTGTTTTTCTTTAAATGCATATCATAATCATGTTAATAAACAGACGTGACACGATATTTTGGGGTGGGGGTGGGGGGCTGGGTGTGATTTCCATAAAGGTGAACTTTTATTCCAGAGTTTTTTAAGTTGTTTCTGTATTTCAAAGCTATGTATTTGGAAAACATTGGAAAACATTGTAAATGCAACACCTATATCAACTTTCCTGTGTATATTTAGTACTCTGATGTTGCTATTAAAAAAGAACATAACATAAAAAAAAAAAAAGCAGAAAAGAATCGCCATGAGTTCAGGCCATGACCTCAGAAGGACTTTTTTTTTTAATGTTCTTTGCTTACTCATTTTCTAAGCACTGGTCTCTGGGACGTCCTCTAGGGACGCAGGTGTTCGTGTTTCCAAGCCACGGCTCATAATCTCCGGCGTCTCCCCTGGGTCTACACTATCTCCCAGCCACAGCTCCCCATTTTAACAGCTAAGAAAACATTTCTGGGTCTCCCTGGTGGGTCCCGGGCTAGCCGGGATGGTCCCACAATGTTGAACTTGAGACCACGAGCCCCACAACAGCAGGCCTGGGGAGCTGAGGGTGCACTTGATAGGCAGCCTGAGTCCAGCTCAGGTCTGCAGAGATTCCTCTGAGAAAGCTAACCCCCAGGGGAGAAAACGCGCCCAAAGCTTGTAACTGTGTGCCTACGCCGAGGAAGAGGTTCCACAGGGCCGCCACGCTGGAGCCAGGGGACAGGTGGAGGGCACAGAGTTTACGCAGGGTAAAGACAGGCTCAGGCCAGGCAAACTAGGTGTGGGCCCTGCCAGCCGCCAGCCCAGCAGGCTTAACCAGGGAGGTTTTGCCCCTGAGGGAACACCTGGCAGTGTCTGGAGACAGTTTGGGTTGTCACAACTGGGGACGGGGTGCTACTGGCATCTCTTAGGGAGAAGCTGCTGAACATTTTATGATGCGCAGGACCCCCACCCGAAAACAAGAATTAGCCGGCCCCAAATGTCAGTAGTGCTGAGGCTGAGAAAGCCTGGTCTCTACCTTCTCAGGGATGCCCCACCCAACGCTTTCCGGTGGGAGGCAGGGGTTTGCTGCCCCCGCTGCAGAGTTAAGGGTGAAGCCCGGTGCTATTTCTCACATGTTTGCAGTTACGTGGACATACCACCCAAATCACAGGTACCACCCACTATTCCACTTAACGGATAGGACACGCCATGAGGGCACATGCTTGTGTAGGGCCCCTGGGCGGGATGGATGGGGCCGAGCTGGACCCAGCACCCTACCCAGTGCACCCCGACTCAACCACAGCCTCACTCACCTCCAGAAACATCTTCATCGCACAATTAACGTGCTGCCGAGTTTTCCAGCCCCTTCTTCTTAAGTGTGGTCACTACTGAGGCCAAGAATCAGCATCAGCAAGACAGGAGGGAAGGGATCAGGGAGGCACGGTCCCAGGGACCAGTCACCACAAGGAGATGACCTGCCCAGAAGGATCCACTGATGGCCTACAGTCTGCAGAGTTGGAGAACTGAGGTCTCAGCCATCTTTTCTAAGAAGAAAATCACATTCAAGGACAGGGACATGCCAAGGATTGAATGCAGTGGGTAGAGCACCCCTTACAGATTTCCAGCATCCTTTCCCCTAAACAGCTCAGGAGAGGAGGTGGCACTCAGCCCCCGCCCCGCCCCGTGCCCACTGCGGAATCCATAGACAATTGACGTGTTTCCTCATCCAGCACGCGGGGCCTGCAGTGACGTGCGAGCTTCTGTCTGTCTCCGCTCGGAGCGGTTCTTTGTCTTTGCTTCTCATTCGCCCAGGAGTTTCCATGCGCTTCTGAGGCTGAGCGCTGGCAGATGGCTGAAGTGACCACTGGCTCCCCAGGGACAGCCTCTCCTGAATCAGTGAGGAGCTTAATGCTGTGAGACACAGTGATGAATGGGATACATAACTATCTTTAACGAGAAGAAAAAACAATGCCACTTTGGTCATTTAACTCATTTAAATAAATCAACAGCCTGGATACCATTAGAATAAACTCAATTTGCTCAGCAGGGAGAGGGGAAATTGGGAATCGAGTATCCATTTGCTAGTGCTTTGAGCTCATGTCTCTGAACTGAAGCCAAGACAATAAATATGGGGTCCCAAGATGGCCGGATAAATTTGGCAGAGTGCACGGTGACGCATTCCCAAATGTGCAAGCACAGAGGAGAGCTTTGGCGGCTGGACACTGGCTGGAAGGGCTTCCCTCCAGGCATGTGGAAGATGGCTGAGCGTCAGAGGGACACGGTGCGTTACACAGGGTCTCCTGAGCACATGTCCCCACCAACTGCATGGAGGGCGAAGAAGGCGGGATAATGTTTTCAGGGAGCTGGGGGGCGGCCCACATCACTGCCCTCCAGAGAAAAGCAGTTCAGAAGTCTGGCAGTCAAAGGTGCACATTGGATCTACAACAAAACCAACTAAAAAAAGACCACAGCATTCTAGAAACTACCAGTCTCCAGGGCTTGTCACAGCGCAGCCGTTCATTTTGCCTCCTAATAAGAGCCTTTTGAGTCACTGTATCTCCCATGTTTCATGGCTGGGCTTCAACCGCAGAAGTCTGAGAAAGTGTGTTCGCTACCTTCAGGGCTCTGGTTCTCACCTGGGGGGATTTTCCTACCCCCCCCCCACGCCTCCTAAGGCGACAACTGCCTGGAGACATTTTTTTTGTCAGAACTGGGGAAGGAAGTGCTACTGGCATCTGGTGCGCAGAGGGCAGGGATGCTGTGACACGTCCCCCACGCACAGGACGGTCCCCATAGCAAAGAATGGCCCGACCCCAGGTGTTAATTGTGCCGACCCTGAGAAACCCTGCTTTAGGGGATTTAATGTGGACCCCTTTTCTGCAGGGGGCATTTGCAGTTAGACTAGCTGTCAATCATCCAGGATACCCAGTCTGACCCCAAGATTCTTCCTAATTCGGAGGCTCCGTCAGGAGACAGCAGCGGCTCTAGGAAGGGAAAAGTGGGCAGCTCCCTTTCTTCTGTTAAGTTTTGTTCGTGTTTTTGCTTTTTAACTTGAGTTACTGGTTTGCTGTGTCTACTGGAGCAAAGTACCACAAACCGGGCGGCCTGGAACAACAGACATTGATAGTCCCCCAGTTCCGGAGGCCAGAACTCCAAAGTCAAGGTGTCAGCAGGGCTGTGGTCCCTCAGGAGGCTCTGGGGACCAACCTCCCAAGCTTTGATTCTGGGTTCTAGTGGTACCTTGGCTCGTGACAGCATCACCCCCATCTTCACGTGACCTTCTCCCACCTGTGCATGTCTGTGCCCAAACCTGCCCATTTTATAAGGACACCAGTCCTATTGGATGGGGGTTCACCCTGCTCCAATGTGACCTCATCTTAATTCATAGCTGCAACGACCCGATTTCCAAATAAGTCCCCATTCTGCGGTCCTAGAGGTTAGGGCTTCAACGTGTCGATTTAGGGGGTCACGTTTACCCCAAACACTGGGGAATCAGAGATGCCGTCACTGGTATTGAAACCTGTCCCCGTTTTCTTGTTCTGTTTGTAACCCAAGGAAAGGAGGGGCTGGGAGGGGGCAGATCTGTACCCAGGAAAGTGGTTCACTTTCCTTCTCCTCCAAGCACTGAAGCGAGGAACTTGGCAGAAATGATGCAGAAAAACCTCTGGCCTTTGAGGCTGGAGCTCTCCAGGCTTGTGGGGCTTCTGGGAAGGAGGCCGAAAGTGCTGACGCAGGCGGCAGGGGCGGGGGTGGGGGGCAGCCAGCGACGGGGAGGACTCAGCTGTGGGCTGTCATCCTGCTCTGAGGCTTGTCCCTCTGCTGGAAGACAGTCCGCCCCGGAAGGTCCCCGGAGTTCTCCTTGGTGCTGGACATGCTGGGGTCAGTTCACTTGTTCCCTTTGACTTGACAACACATCTCGAGAAGAACCAGCATCTAGACTTCCTGCTGGCAGTTTTAGAGACAATCACCCAGCATGTGGTCGCTGAGAACGCTTCTACGCAAACAAGATCTTCTGGAAAACGACAAGGTAATGAGTTTTTGATAACGGCACTGAACCAGCTGCGGACACAGGCTAGACCCACCAAGAACCACAAGCCGCCACTGGCCACTGTCATGAATACCAGCAGGCTGGGTGGGGTTGGCATCACCGAAGCAGGGAGTCGGGAGAGCACCCAGGGGTTTTGAGGACATGCCCCTTTATCCTGTTAAAGTCCTGTGTCAAGGCGCTTTAGTCTGTGACCCGGGTTCTCTCATGTACACCCCATTCCGCAAGGGACTCCCCCCACATTATTCCAGATCACTTTGGGTCCTGGGGGAGGGAGACATAATAACGCAGCGTTAACACGGGCATCTGGCTGAGCTGTTGTTCCCGTGAGAAAATAAATCAGGCCACAGTTGCTCCAAGAAAGGAGGCCGACACCTGGTGCCCAGACCAGGCCCTGTGGGCTTCGGGACCAGGCCCTGTGGGTGAGTAATGGCTGGGGTGTGAGCGCCCCTCAGCCCAGCTCCTTATATGTGATAACATTATGCAGGAAAATAATGGGAACCATCGAAAGTGGCTGTTCATTTGGGATTGAATTACCGCTTAAATCAAACTGACAGTGGGCAGGGGCTCGTGGAATGAAATTAGGGACGAAGCTGTATTTCAGTTGGGACGCCCAGGGGGCTTTGCAGGAGAGCGGGGCTCCTCTAAATGAAATACCAGCCTGAGCACTCATTCCAGCCTCTGTGATTTATCTGAGCAGGAGAGGCTTGTTTGAACGGTTCCGAATGTTATTTTCAGAGAGCAAATGAACGCCTCGTTTTGGAACCAATGACACGGGAAACGGGCCTGGGAGGGTGTGGTGCTAGGGGACCTTTGCTGTCCGAT